ACTGACAACGACATGGCCAAAAATAAAAAGACAAACATACAAATAATAGTACAGATGACACAACATAGAAAACCAAAGACTAAGCAACACGAACCCCACCAAAAACTGGGGGTGATCTCAGGTGCTTCCGGAAGGGTAAGCAGATCCTGCTCCACATGTGGCACCCGTCGTGTTGCTTATGTTATTACAAATCCGGTAAATAGTCTAATTCGGTAAGTCACATTCGTGAAAAGGGAGGGTAGTGTAGTTACGACATAAGGAACATATCCGATATCATTTGTGAAACGGTTATTCCATAACGGTCAACCAACTCGTGATGGCGTCCGTAAAATTTACGAAGGGATGATTTCAACTTCACCATTTGGAACTCTTGGTTTAATAGCTTCCGTGTGAGTAGCAATCCTCTATCAAGGAAATCATGATAGGAAACACAAGCCAGGGAATATCGTATCAATTGGGAGATATATATTCCGTATGCAGGCGCTGCTGGAATGTTGCTTTCATGAAATTCGGTTCTGCTTGTAAAGAGGTGGCTAAAGGTTTATGTGTGTTAAAGATATCATTTTCCGAAAATTGAGTCAGTTTGAATGTTGGTGAATTCGTGATTTCCTTTTGCAGAACGTCAATATAAAATTTACGTCAAACAATAATAATATCAGCCGGGACAAGTCAGCTTTTTCTGGTATTATCCATTTCGTACAGTAAGTACGGAGTGACTCGTGGATGATGATACGACACTTATTCCATTTAATAATTGACGGGGGACGATATTTAGGTCCTTAACTAAGGAATGATTTCAACTTTCGGTCCTGGACGATGTTAAGGTCTTCTGTTATAACTTGCAACTTGGGCCATATCTTTGTACCTTTTTTTTACCTTTTGCTGTTAATTTTATTTGCTTAGTAACGATCTGTTGAGTCAAACTCATTCCATTGAGGGTTGTTTACCGTTTCTTGGTATGCTGTATTCATACACCGCTGTCCTAGATATTGGAAAAAATCAAAACAACACGTTATAGTTTCATGCGTCCGAAGCGCTTTTCTGGATTTACCTCCATCAGGAATGCTCAAAGCCGAATATTTAAAAGCCAAGAATGTATAAAAACCTGAACAGTTGAAAGAGTAATATGACCAAAAAGGATCTAAAAAAAATAGCCAAATTTATCTAAGGTCAAAAGTAAAATCACAAAAATACTGAACTCCGAGGAAAATTCAAAAAGGAAAGTCTCTAATCAAATGGCAAAATCAAAAGCTCAAACACATCAAACGAATGGATAACAACTGTCATATTCCTGACTTAGTACAGGCATTTTATTATGTAGAAAATGGTGGATCGAACCTGGTTTTATAGCTAGCTAAACCTCTCACTTGTATGACAGTCGCATCAAATTCCATTATATTGGCAACGATGCGTGAACAAAACAAACAGACACAATAGGTAAAAATGTCAAAAATAGGGGTACAGCAGTCAACATTGTGTTATTATCTTAATCACTATAAAAACAAACAAATGTAACATAGAAGCACACACAGGCATACATCAAATTTAACAACCTCATTTTGCTTTTTTATTATACGATTTTATTTATATATGTAAAGTCCACCCATAGAGGATTGAAAGATTTTAAGTACTGGGACCGAATCCTTACCCTGAGAGACACATGGTTAGATTAACATTAACTTTGACGTAGAATCGCGCGTTTGACGTCACACAGGTAGAAATAAAATAATTTTGTCGTTCAATGTATGACGGGATGCATAAGTACAGAGTCACGTCAAATGGATATCACAAAATACAGACTTAACAGTAAAAGTAAAAAGGCATACATCAAATTTAACAACCTCATTTTGCTTTTTTATTATACCATTTTGTTTATTTATGTAAAATCCACCCATAAAGGATTGAAAGATTTTAAGTACTGGGACCGAATCCATACCCTGACAGACACATAGTTAGATTAACATTAAATTTGAAGTAGAATCGCGCGTTTGACGTCACACAGGTAGAAATAAAAATAATTTTGTCGTTCAATGTATGACAGGATGCATAAGTACAGAGTCACGTCAAATGGATATCACAAAAAAACAGACTTAACAGTAAAAGTAATATTAATAAGGACAAATAAAAGAATACTATAACAAAATTTAAGATGATAAACAACGTCAGTACGCAGAATCTATACTTCAAGACCATCGTGTATTATTTGTGAAGTTGATACGGAATATTTATCAACAAGGCATTGGTACCTTCCGATAAACTTTTTTAGAAAAAGGACGAGACGTTATTTGACATACCCCTGGTTAAATAACTTTCTGCTCAGACACTGGTCAACTTTGCCTGAGGGAGTTGAAACCTAAGCTTCTATTTTATTAAAACAATGGAAGAATTGAACATTAATAACCAGTCCCTCGTTTCCCAAAAATGCCAACGACTAAAATTGATCCTAAGTCATGAACAACTCACTATACTTACGACCAACTTTAGTCGTAAGATTTTTTGTGAAACGCAGGACACGTTTTTTGTCTGTACAAATAATTTCTAAATTGGCAATATAACCACATCTCTGCTTCTTTTTATAAAAATGCAAAAATTTCGTATAAGTAAGTATTATGTACGAAAAAGCACATATAATGCGCTGTTCGGCTGTGCCTTTTTTATGTGCTGATTTAGGTTGTTTTACGTATTCGTTTTTATTCTGTAGTTAGTCACCACATCGGTGTTAACATGTATATCTATTATATAGTCATTTTTATAAATTTACTGTTTGCAAAAGTATGAATTATTCTAAATACTAAGGATTTTCTTATCCCAGGCATATAATCTTAGCCGTATTTGGCACAACTTTTTGGAACTTTTGGTCCTCAATGCTCTTCAACTTTGTACTTGTTTTGGCTTTCGAACTTTTTTTATCTGGGCGTCACTGATGGGTCTTATTTAGACGAAACGCGCATCTGGCGTATTAATTATAAGCCTGGTACCTTTTGCTAGCTATTATTTGTGTGTGTCTCTGTCCTGTATGTTCTCCCATTTATTTGTATTGTAGTCCTGTCATGTAATCTTGTCATTTTAATGTTATATTTAACATTGCCATAAAAGCGGGAGGTTTGGCTAGCCACAAAACCAGGTTCAACCCACCATTTTTTCTTAAAATGTCCTGTACCAAGTCAGGAAAATGGCCATTGTTATATTATAGTTCGTTTCTGTGTGTGTTGCATTTTAGTGTTGAGTTTCTGTTGTGTCGTTATTCTCCTCCTATATTTGATGTGTTTCCCTCAGTTTTAGTTTGTAACCCGGATTTGTTTTTTTCTCAATCGATTTATGAATTTCGAATAGCGGTATACTACTGTTGCCTTTATTTATGTGATTAAAGGATTCTAGAAAGACAATATAAAAGACAAACTGTATAAAAATAGGCGGAAGATACCAAGGGGACATTCAAAGCATCCTTCGAACACGAAACACTCATTAAGCAATCGTATACTGTGGATTCGTTTATTTTCGTGGGTATCAATTTTCGTGGATTAAGAAAATCTTGCATTTTCGTGGATATTGAATTTCGTGGTTTCTCCCAAGTCTGCATGCAAACCAATAGAAAATTTGTAAATCGTTGAACATTTAAATTCGTGGTTTACCTGTACCCATAAAACCCACGAAAATTGGTATCCCACGAATGATAATGAATCCACAGTATGACATTTATGATTAGTATTATCGTAATTGCAATATCTCAATGAACATACAATGGGCAGTTTCAGTCATGTCACTTGTTTTACTATCTTTCCTACATAATTGGTTTAATTTTTAGCTGTCAATTGATGTTTCGCTCGATATAGCTATATTTGTAAAACCGGTAGTGCTGATTATTTTTTTCTGTTTACAGGTTAAGTCTATCTATTACAAGCCTGGTATCTCCTAATATTTTTGTTGAGTATTTTTTCAAGATCATAGCCAGTTACGTTAAAATTGGTAAATACATCGCCATTTAAGGACGATAGCTCCTTTCAGGAGTAAATTGATGGTATCAGACATTTTAGTTTGTTTGTATCTTGCCTTACTGTTACTGTTTACATCATAATTCTAGTTTTTAAAAGTTTTCAAGATTACAAAATTAGTAAAAAAATAATCATTTTAGGAAAATCCTCTTACAAGAAGTCGTGTAATGGTTCTGTTTATGTAATATTTTTGCTGATCTTTTGTGTCTTTACTATATATTTCAATTGGTAAATAACCAAGTAAGGATAATAACATAACTAATAAAAGTAATAATTTTGGTGGGCTCAGTAAAATTTGGATAATTGTAGATTGCGAGTTATTTAGCGTTTTTGATTATTTACTGGTCGTTCCTGCATTTCTTAGTATTCTAGTTAATATTTAGGGAAAAAAAAAGAAATCTGGTAAAAACTCGTTTCAATGACGTAGATTTCTCAACAATTACGGCGACTTACGACGAATGACGACGAATGACGACGACGACAGATGACGGACGACGACGACGATAAACGTCAAGTGATGGCAAAAGTTACACGAACAATATTCGAAATAAGCACAACAAAGGATCATTATACTTGGTTTTGTTTGCTCCACAACAAAATAGATTTATAAATCTATAATTTATTCATTTTTAAAACTGACCTATATGTGTTATCTTCTATTATGAAGCGATGTGCGTGAATGATTAAGCAACAATAAAGGAAACAAAACCTACCAACGTTAACCTACATGAATAATGCATGAAAATCAAATCGCATAAAATTATCTAAGATATAACTGAAGCCTGATATATGCATTTTATTTAGCGATTACTTTTGAATTTAAGGCGTAGTGTAAACATATTTTATTGTGCAAAAGGATAAATGGATCCGACACTAGTTTTGTTAGTTCTTCTCCAAAAGCGAAATCAAGGAACAGACCAAATTCAATGCCTGTATGTCATTGATCTTCTTAAAACTGAACTCAGATGTAAAATTTAATATATTTAAATTAATGATAAAGTAAAGTTATCATTTACCCTTTTGGCAAATATAATTAGGTTTCCAAATTCCATCTGCCTCGCATGTAATTGATTCCACATCTACTTCTGCTGTATATCCACTATTACAATATAGGTTGCTAAGTTTTGAGGTTACATGGGTATAACTTTGTGGGATATCTTCTGATCCACCATTTTTTATATTAGGTGCATAGCATTCTAAAATAAGCAGCCATCATAGTTTCAAAATATGAAAATATGCGAGTCTTACATATAAATTGAAATTTAATGAACTGATGAATAGTAAAAATCTTTCTGATCTTAACAACTTGTGCAAATTTATAAGACTAATAAATATGCATTTAGGCTCTCCTGGGTAATTCATGTACTTGATATCATTTAGTTTAATATGTATACCGTAATATATGATATGTGCCTCCCTCTTGCTTCCGTATAATTTTTGTATGTCTGTACATATACATTATGTAATATTTATTGTGTGTATCTCTATACCAATGTAATTTGGTTTGTTGAGAAATAAAGATATATACATAGTCTTTTGTTCTCCGAACATCTCGGATCAGAGGTCTGAATTAGTTAAATGATTTTTTAGTTATTTTGCTATGGACATAATTTACACAGAAGACAGAGTTCCTGCAAAAATATAAAACAAAAGGAAAATCTTGAACAGTCTGCAAAGCACAATTAAAAAAAAAGCGCAGAGATCGAGTTATAAGGTAAAATCAATTGAATTAAATGAAAGCATTATGGCGGGATAAAAAGAAACATGGGGTATTGATAACAATATAAACTGCACAAACTATTTCAAACAAACGTTTCAGCATGTGGAGCAGAAACTGCTTACCCGGAGTACCGGAGTTCGGCCCCGGTTTTCTAGGGTGTTCGTGTTGCTCAATCATTAGTTCTTTATGTAGTTTTGTGAAGTTGTTCGTCTTTTCATTGTTTTTTCCGTTTGGGCTATTTTTGTCATTGCGTGGTCAGTTTATCCTCGACTTATGAGTTGTGAATGTCTACTCGCAATTGTTATCTTTCGCCTTTTTTTATAAGTAGAGTGGTTTTATGATATATTACGTTTATTTTCAAATACACTATGCTTAACTTTAAAATTACGGGTAAAACTTTCTCCCATCTGCTGCCTATGAAGAAGGGAAAATATAAAAAAATATGGCAATGAGGTATGATCGCCAGTGGGATAGTCATCCCTGATGACCAAGAGACAAATATGTGAACAATTTCAGGTCACCGTTTAGTCTCCAACAATGAACAAAACACAAATCGTAAAGTAAGCAATAAAAGGCCCCCGGATAACAACATGTGAAACACTTCAAGAGAATACAAACGGGCTAGTTTATACTACAATTGCAAAAAAAAAAAACAATTGCAATTATATAGCAGCTTTAGTAAATTTTAAATTATGTATATTAAATTTTAAATATTTTATGATCCCCTGAGTTGATTTCATTCATATTACATCAACTTCTTTATTCATTGACTTCAATGCACAAATAAAAGAGGTTGTTAAAAAGATATGTTGTATCCTTAACATCTAAATTTACAGACTAAGTATATTTTAAGTATTTCTATGGCAAAATCATAAAAAAAAATACACCACAAACCAAAAATAAAATTTTACAAAAAATTATATGCGCGAATTAAAGAAAGAGGTGATAAGAAATGGACACCTTTCCAATGCAGTTAAAAAAAAGATAAAATGAATAAAATGAATTTTCCATATTGTTTCTTTCTTATCTTAAAACGCAATGCATCCATTGGATGTTGGATGTGTACTGATTGATATTTTAGTCTTAGATACATTTCGTTTTTTTTATTAGTTGTTATTGACTTTGAAAATAGCTGTCTGTAATTACGAGTAATCCATTGAATGTTGGATGTGTACTGATTGATATTTTAGTCTTAGATACATGATTTTTTTTATTAGTTGTTATTGACTTTGAATTAGCTGTCAGTAACTGCGATTAATCCATTGAATGTTGGATGTGTACTGATTGATATTTTAGTCTTAGATACATGATTTTTTTTACAAGTTGTTATTGGCTTTGAATTAGCTGTCAGTAACTGCGAGTATTCCATTGGATGTTGGATATGTACTGATTGATATTTTAGTCTTAGATACATGATTTTTTTTATTAGTTGTTATTGGCTTTGAATTAGCTGTCAGTAACTGCGAGTACTCTCAGATCTGTACTTAGTGTTTTTTTATGTTAGGGATGAGTGATGGATTAATTCCTTGCCACGTCCAGTCTGTGTTTTTGTTTGATGTTTTTCTGCTTTGTATCTATCTGATTTTTATAGTTTGCTGTTACACCACTGTCCCAGGTTAGGGGGGCGTTGAGCCCTCATAAACATGTTTAACCCCGCCACATTCTTTATATGCCTGTCCCAATTCAGGAGCCTGTAGTTCAGTGGTTGTCGTTGGTTCATGTCAGTCATATTTGTTTTTTGTAAATTGTTTTGTTATAAATTAGGCCGTTAGATTTCTCAATTGAATTGCTTCATATTTTTCATCTCGGGGCCTTTTATGGCCGACTATACGGTATGAGTTTTTCTCATTGTTGAAGGCCGCACGGTTGCCTATAATTGCTTACATCCACTTCATTTGAACTTGGGTTGATAGTTGTCTCATTGGCAATCATACCACATCTCCTTATTTTCATATGTGTAGCAATAGCTGAACAACGTTCTTTTTTAACCAAAGTCTCATGCAAAAGTGACTCAGACAAATTTGCCTATTCGTTTTAGGTTCACTTTTGTCATAGCATTTATACATCCCTAGCTTCAAAATGTTTAGGTTTGAGCGTTCCTGTTGAAGGTAAATCCAGATAGCGCTTCGAACGCACGAAGTTTATAAAGTGTAATTTTCATTTAGAAACAGTTAGAAATTCTCAAATGTAATGGGAAAATAGGCTATGTTGTATTGAAATAAATGCCATACCCCCTCGTTGTGATTTGTTGAATGAAGTTACCTGGAAGAGTAAAAGCACAGTCTTCGTCATAATTTCCATCTAAGTCATAGTCTGCTATGTACCTATCGCTAAACAACAAGTGCTTTGGCGGAGCTAGAAGTAGAAAATGTAAAAAAAAAAAAACACTAAAATTATTTCGATTGCAAATTAATAAGATAAATATATACATCATTAACAATACAACTCCTTTCGTTTACTCGTCTCTTCCAGTTATATCAGGAGATTTTTGTCTTACGTGAAATCATTTCAAATCCTTTTTTAATATCAACATCCTGCTTTTCAATGATAATTGTAATTTTCATAAAAAGTGAGAATTTGATATCGTTTGATGTCAGCTCGAGTAATTTAATATGAATATGATATAGGCTTTTTTATTATTGATATTTAAATCAAAATAGCGAGAGTTTGATAGAAAGCAATATCTTATTCTGACGAGTTGTTAAAACTATTTTTCTTATGGTAAACATTCTCTTTGAATTACCTAGAAAATTCCGCGACTCGTTGATCGAGTCTTTGACACATACTAGTACAATATATGACTAATTATGTCCTGTTCCGGCGTCCAACTTTTTCATTGAACGTTATTTGACTTAATAGTGTACGCTTCAAAATATAATAGAATTTAACCCCAAGAAGAAAAAGGTAAAATAACAAAAATACCGAACTCCAAGATAAATTCAAATCTGAAAGTTCCTTATCAAATGGCAAAATCAAAAGCTCAAACACATCAAACGAATGGAAAACAACTGTCATATTCCTGAATTAGTACAGGCATTTCCTTTCGAAGAAAATTGTGGATTAAACCTGGTTTTATAGCTTGCTAAACCTCTCACTTGTATGACAGTTGCATAAAATTCCATTACATTGACAACAATGAGTGAACAAAACAAACAGACATAATTGGTAAAAATGTCAAAAATAGGGGTACAGCAGTCAACATTGTGTTATAATCTTAATCACTATAAAAACAAACAAATATTTCAATAAAGAAAAACAAAATGGCATATAGACAAAGCACATAAGCAAACATGAAAGACAGGAATACAAAAAATGACCACAGCACAACAACACATTAGCGGGATGCATAAGTACCGAGCCACGCCAAAAGGATATTACCAAAGAAGATTTCACCTACCTCCGTTGACATTGGGAAAAGTATATCGTTTTGACCTTTGAAAATCACCAATGACCTAACGAATAACCAATAAAAATGTTTCAATATCTTTTCATAATACTGGATACGTTTTTTGTATACATATACAAAACTGACAGTTTGCGTTAGTCAATACAGCCTTGAATAAACAATAGTATAAAAGGAGCTATGATGGGTAGCATCAACATATACATATTCAAGCATGTATTTCTGTACAATAAAACCTTAAAAAAGATAACAGAAATTATGAAAAATATTGCACAGTACAAAAGACCTTAGCATCCACCAAGAACCAACAAACTCAACATTGTCCAGATACACAGACGTCGTGCAGGTGTAAATTGTGGTGTTTTTTTTTTTAAGTGCGAACAAACTTCCCACTTTGCCTATCAATAACATATGTCGTAAAAGTAAAACACAGAATAACAAAATGAAAAGTCCAGCTACTAACAGTATAACCTCTTACTATAATGAAGGAAATAAGGCACCTAATTTGGAAACAGGACTAAAACGTGCTCGCTATCAAAATAGGAGATGACCCATGTTTATAGTTTGTTTTTACATTGCTGTCCCAGGTTAGGGGTAGGGTCTCCCCAATAAAATATTTAAACCCGCCACATCCTGCATGAGCCTGTCCAAGTCAAGGGCATGTAATTCAGTGGTTGTTGTTTGTTGCTATGTATCATATTAGCTTTTCGTTTGTTGTTTTGTACAAAAATCAAGTAGTTAATTTTTGTTTTAATTGCTCTACTTTTGTTATGTCGTGGCTTTTTATATCTTGCTATGAGATATGGTTTTTACTTACTGTTGAAAGTCAAACGGTGACCTATAGTTGCTTACGTTGACAAAATTATAAACCTGGTATATGTATCTATGATGAGTATTTCATGTCTTATTTCAAACTAAAAAGGTGATGTCATTTTACGCATGTCCCTGACCCCTTCATTTACATTTCAATATAAAAATAAGAAGATATGTTATGATTGCCAATGAGACAACTGTCCATCAGAGACCAAATGACATAGAAGTTAACAACTATAATAGGTCACCGTACGGTCTTCAACAATAATCAAAACCCAAACCGCACAGTTAGTTATAAAAGGCCCCGAAATGACAAATGTAAAACAATTCAAACGAGAAAACAAACGGCCTGATTATAGTCCGGTCTTTTATCATTAAAAACGCTACAGAAACTAATTAGAATATGAAATTAAACAGAGCTGGCGTATAAATTAATTCATTTTGACTTATCAAACCAGGCACTATACAAATCGAACTGATTTGTTTTATGAGTGGTAAAATGTTATATACAAATGTTGATAAGACGTGCCACAATGATTAGTTTTTTCACAAAATGTTGAAAACTTGGACTAAATAATACATGATATTTGCAATGGCACATTGAATAGAGATTTTGGTGAAACATCAAGATTTTCAAGAAATAGGTAACAGTAAAGTTAAATTAGACGTAAACAGTGTTCTTTTGCTATTGCTTTAAATATATTATGATTTAAATATATGAGTTTATACATTTGTTAAAAAATCGTCGGAAGAGGGTGATAAAACATATAATTTAAACAAATGAAAATATCTTAAACATTCCGGTCAGGAAAATAGTATAATACACACTTCACTTTAGAATGGACATAATCAAGTTGGTGTGGATATTTACCGAAGTTGTAGCCAGCCAGTGTACAAATGTCTTCATGTATTAGACCATCACAATCTGTGTCCTCAGTCTCGTGCAGAATACAGTTCTGTAAAGAAAAATACAAATGCTTTGTTCTCAAAGAAGCGTTAAAACAGAATCAGATAAAAAAAACATAGCAATAACCAAGTACATAAACAATTATAAGCGATTTGAACAAAAAAATGGACAACTTCGAGATCGTTTGTTCAAGTACCGACACTATCAGTCCTTTAAACTAGTATGAGCTGCTTCTTTTCCGGGCGTGGTACATTAAGGACTTACAAGTCTGGTAGTTTTGGAATCAGGATAATTTTTCTTGGTAGGGTGTTATGTCTTACCTCATTAAACTAAAGACGTAAAAATGTAGAAAGTATATCTAATACAAGGCGGTAATTCTTCTCCCGAAATTGATATGCTTTCGTAATTAATTAAACATCCATCAATCGAATAAAGTTCGTATTATATATACTTCATAAATCGAAATTAAATCTGAAAATAGGTTAAATAACATTGATTCAAATTAACCGTACCTTTTGAGAATAATGTGCTATATAAAAAATGTTAGAGATAAATGTTATCGAGTCGAAACTTTAAAGTGCAAATAGTTTAAATTATAACATGGTATTTATTAACTATTTATATGTATGCCTTTGTGAAAATTTTAGTGGTTCGAACATTTTGAAATTTATATGTGAATTATACTTAAGTTGCAGAAAAAGTACGTATTAAAAATGATACTTAATTTAACTTCATGACAGCAGACTACTGGAACGGTGATATTCTCAGGGACGAAAAGTCCCCCTATTTTGGCACCGACCTAGCAGTTGTGAAAACTCATTAACCATCCCAGGCTTATAATTTAGTCCATCATGTGATCAGATAATTTTCGATTTTGAAGTTAAGTATATACTGCTAGATTTAAGATCTCCAAAATCCATTCTCTTTTTAGATTTATGAGTTGATAGCTTTTTCTATCCCAATATAAAAATAAGGAAATGTGGTATGATTGCCAATGAGACAACTATCCAACAAAGTTCAAACAAAATGGATGTAAAAAATTATAAGCAATCGTATGGTCTTCAACAATGAGAAAAACCAATACCGTAAAGCCCCGACATGAAAAGTTGAATCAATTCAATTGAGAAAACTAAATAACAAAACAATTTACGAAAAACAAATATGACAAACATGAACCAACGACAACCACTGAACTACAGGCTCCTGAATTAGGACAGGCACATTAAGAATGTGGTTGGGTTAAACATGTTTGAAGGCACCAACCCTTCCGCTTCAAATGCATACTTTACCTTAGCTGTATTTGACAGAGTTTTTTGGAATTGTTGATCAATTTGAATACTTTTCCACTTCTAAATATTTCGATTTCAGTGTCACTGATGGGTCTTATGGAAACGAAACGTGCGTTCTGCGTGCCAAATTATAACTCTGAGATCTTATCAAAGTCTCTTTGAAATTGAGTGGACATTAAATGACGGATTTAATAGTGAGCAATTTACACTCGTTTCATAGTTAGTGTGATAAGTCTTACTATTAGTCTACCAAAGTTTCGGCAAACACAGCATGTTGATGCTTAGCTTTTGATAGTTAACTAATTATTTAGAATTTTATTTAGTAAAACTTCACATAGCAAAATTATCTTGCTTTCTTTATTTATCTTATCCCTTATCCTAGACTAAAAATGTTTTTAATTTATTCTTACGCACCACAAAATCATCTTGGTTGGTTTACTTATTTAATAATCATTTGATTGACTTTTTGGAGAAAATGAAATCAGATTCATACCCCAAAAGATTTTTGAAAGGTTGGACACAACAATTTTGTAGCTTAGAAATAGAAAATATAATTTATCCAAACATTCTGCTTTTTTAGACTGGAGTATCTTATATAAAAGTTGCAATAAAAGAAGAATGTGTCTGAGGACACGAATACCCTCGTTCAAACTTTGCAATTTTCCAAGTTAAAAAATGGGCATAACTCTAAAACGGCAAATGACTCACAGCCCAAATTTGAACTCTGTCTGCATGTTTGTGGTTCTTAGCATTGTGTATGAGTATCATAAAATTTGGATGAAACAAACTTAAGTAAGAGTGCGGAAACGACGAAATTTGCAATTTTCCAAGTTTTAAAGGGGCATAACTCTAATAGGGTAAGCGACTCACTGCCCAAATTTGAACCCTGTCTGCTAGTTTTGGTTCTTGGCATTGTGTATGAGTTCAGAGTGCGGAAACGAAAATGGGACGGACGGGTGGACGGAAGGACGGACGGAAAGATGGACGGAAGGACGGTCAAGGGTGACACTTGACGTTGACTACGGTACGGGGCATAAAAAATTAAAATGTTAAAAACAGTTTTTCCGGTCTAATATTTAAAATATCAATTGCCGTAAAACATTGACAAGGCTAATGGAAGTATGATTCAACGTGGTCCATCGAATATTGCTGTTTAACTGATATATAAAGTAAATAAGGCCTTGCAACTTGAAGATACAGTTTGTGCCATTCCACCCTTTAACCAACAGAAGTTTTGGGTTTTTTTTCAACAGTGTCTAAGTCACAAACATTCAACCTTCGTTACAATATAGAAGGGATCGATCGAATGAGGAAACAAACTTTGTTAATATTTAAACTGTATTGAGTTAATAAAACGTAGATATATTTATATATTGCAAATACGTTTTAATGTATATTTATCAAATAATCATTTTATAATTATAAAGAATAGAGAATAGATTAAGTAATTATGGATAATTGATACACCAGCGGGCGCGTTTGCAAATATTTTGCATGACTACAAGTAAAATTTGTCGTACTTACTATGAATCGATTGTAAAGTAATACTCGGGAATAATTATCTGCCAAACTTTCCAGCCAACGTTTCAAATTCTTCAATATTTCTCTTCTGTGTTAAAGGGGCATTTGGTTGCATTAATACTGATTAAAATGAGTTGAATTATTGACTTGCAAGTCAATAAACCATTAGTGATGTTTGTTTAGCTTTTTTTGAGGAAATTGAACTAAATAGCGTGTTAATAGCGGAATGGTATTTCTTCATCCTTCTTTTATAAATGTTTGCAAGAACAAAAATCTTACTTTTATTTCTCGAATTCGTAGCTAATATCCCTTTAAATTGAGAAAGATTAATCTTGCATCATATTACAAAAGATGAAATAAATACTTACTTCCACTTCAGAGAATTTCATCCCAACGCATGATCCAAATGCAATTCCATTATAACTGCCAGCATACCAAAGAACATGATCGTGTGTGTTGTTATCAAAATTTACTCGATAAAAGGTATCTGGTCGAAGCAAAATTGACCTATTATGGTCAAAGTTTCTGTCAATCGTATAAGGGTTCACTTTGAAGCTGCTAAGCACAGATGTAGTGTCAATATTTGAAACATATCCATATAATTTATGTTCCGACGCATTTCCATTTAGATTCTGGAATGTTTTGAAATTATATGTATCCATTATGTGATCTGTTGATGGTATTATTACCATAAATCCACTACCGACATTGTTGATTACAGTAACCCAAACAAACACGGGCTGGTCGCAGGATATATCTTCTATGTAGTCAATTTCTCCTTTTGCTATTTGTTCATAGTGTCCTGGTTTATCAAGATATATTTCCCATTCAAAAAAAGTAAGAGATTCTGATATGGTTAACCTACAACTTGTTACCCAAGCTGATGTCATTATACGAATGTTGTAATTCGCAACAGAATCTTCATCATGTCGCAAAATATAAGAATAGGATCCGGATTTAAAAAACTGAACAGGGTACAGTTGCTCAGCGACTGCAGTGTTGTTGAAATTTGCGCCACATATAACTGAAACTCGATTGTCCGCCCAAATGTAAGTTCCAGTCAAGTCTCTTTCTGATTTAACCAATGCATATTTATATTTTCCGATGGCAAGATTAATTCTGGAAGTATTATCTACACTGTAATCGGAGATACCGAATTCGGTAATATTAATTATATAATGAATATCCTCAAATAGAACCTTCACATGAGTGTTGTCATAGATTGCAGTGATAATACAATAAGACACACAATACGCACTCTGTGGACAGTAACTTGCAGCGTAGTATTCTAATCCAAAAACGTCAATTGGGAATAACAGAGTGGATATTGCCTGTTTTGCTTCGTTGTTATACCAGAGAAAATTTATAGAACTCTTGTCTTCAGTTGTTATTTTGATCACCGTCATTTCCTCTCCGTTACTTGTTTCGTTGGGTTCCATAACCTCTCCGTTTATGTAATTTATCTGCTCAGTATCGTTTCTCTTAGGAGAAATTGCAAGTTGACAATATCCGTCTTTCCATATTGGTAGAACAGGAACAACAAAGCACTTTCCATGACTGCTCGTATCTAGAAGAAGTTATCAGATGATAAGAGTAAATCATTTAAAAAAAGCAGGAGATACTTAAGGGACATTAAAAGAACAAAAGAAACAGACATCATGGCGAAAAACAAAAGACGACGAATAGACATACAAGTCCAAAAACATAAATATTAAACCAACGAATGAGCACGACGAACCCTTAAAAAACCGCGATGATATCAGGTGTCCCGGAAAGTAAGCAGATCTTGTTCCGCTGGTGGCACCTGAAAAAAACCCCGCAAGATATGAAACGCTACCTTGACAGATCTGTCAGTTAATAAATGAACAAGACACTTCCTTTGAGACGCAGGTACGCTCGAAAGATCTGTCTGTGATACCTTCTCCTGACAAACATCAGTTTCAAAGATAAGTAGCATTCTAGAAGATGAGATAACTGTCTTGTTAGTTAAAAAATTATGAAAAGCATGAAAAATTATGTGACAAGAGGAGGTCAAAACGAAATTAAACGCCTTCAATGGTAGACATTCAAATAATATAATTCGAATTTATATGTCATCGAAAATCAAAAGATGGAAACAAAATTCTGAAATTACAAATTATATTGATGTATATATAATTGACAAAATTCAGCACATTTGCTATCTTCAATCATCAGAGCATTATTAAAACAATGTGCATACTTGTACATAAGCTTTATCTCTTCCAATTATGAGTTTTATTTGGATCATTTTTGCGCTCGAACAGAAAAGAATCATACTCACTTTAAATATTTAAAAGCTGATTTTAGTAACAAATCAATGTATGCATTGGCTAGTACAACATTTATCAAACACTATAGGAAACTGCTTGTCCCTCTGGAACCCCAGATCAAAATATCATTGATTCTCATTAATATTTTCAATGTTATGCTTTACAGTTTTATGAGAACTGTTCAAGTACAGCAACAAATTATATAAAATTGAACCAAAAAAGAGTAACAACATAACGATGCATAATTTGAGGATCATAACTTGGTATTATGAAGTGATTTTCAATAAAACAAGTTATTTTGTATTAATAGCTTATCACAACTATTTACAAATGTATATATATATACTCTGTAGTAGTTCAGTTAGATTATGAAACAAATCTAAATCTAAGGGCCAATTTTTACTTTTCGTGAACCTACCACAAAGAATGACGCTGATATGTTTGCAAAGAAAAAATTCCATTCTGTAATTGAGTATTTTGATTTGTTTTGTTGCGTTAAGCATATCCATATCAGAAATTTAAAACTTTTAATAACCAATTGTAAAAATGTCTGAATTCACAGTAGATTTATGAATTTAATCTAAATAATTGAACACTTTTCGTTTAATCTAATCACTAGTAAACAATCGTTTTAGTAGTATAGATCGGCAGCATAAAACCAGGCGAAGTGCAACAAACAACATAAACGTGTCAGGGAGAAGAAAAGCCCAGAGAACTGTAACAAACAGCAAAAATTTGAAACGATATACTATAGCCTAACTAAGATACATAGGAATTTGTGTTGATGAACCTCTTGTAATGAATATCATATTCTGCATTGTCAGTCCTAAACTGAACTAGATCACTCTTTTCGTGTTTTTATGTCGTAGAATATGAAAATAACACTATACATTTGATGCTACTGATGCTCTTTTTTCTTTCACTTTATTCGGGAACGCAAGATATTTAGATGATTTTGAGGAGCTATATGACAAAAAGTGATCTAAAATGAATAGCCAAATTCATTTAAGGTCATGTTAGTCTGAGAGAGTGGAGATCTTATTTGAAAATCATAAATACGTTAAATTGCACACCCGCTTCTGTGTGGAACGACTTAAAAGCTTTTGGAATAGATATTCTGACACTTAAATGTAAATTCGACAATTAATCCTGTCCAGCGTAATGTGTAAGTAACTAGCAGTCCAACAAAAACATATGTCAACTTTAATTGATTAAATAATGTATTAATAAAACAGTATAATAGTAAGGAAAAGAAATCACATGAATACACATTCAAGAATTAAAATGACTTGTTACAAAATATTGTTGATTGGAAACTTTTAACAGTACTGAAATACAGCAAGAGCTTTTAATTATCAGTTGTAAGTTTGTTCTTGTCAGAACTCTCGTGGACAGATATCAAATTGTTAATTCGGAAATTGTTGCAATGCTTTTATTTTAGGTTTTGCAAAGTAAAAAAAAACAATTCCCGTTTAAAGTTTTATAGTATTACATGTATTTTAATCAGTAATAATTTATCTCTCATTTATGGTTCAATGTACAACAATAAACATTAATAAATTCATGCAAAACATGTCTAAATTTACATTAGATTTTAAAATTTAATCCAAATAATTGAGCACTTGTCTGTTTAATCTAATCGTGAGTAAAAATAATCGTTTTGAGTAGTATAGATCGGCAGCATAAAAACAGGAGAAGTGTAACAAGCAACATAAATGTGTCTTACAGTAGAAAAGCCCTTTCCGAGAAACCTTAATTTCGGAAATTATGACCTCATGAAGGTCGAAACGTAATCGCTATAGTTTGAATCTACAGTAACAAATATGTTCTGATGTGACAGAGGAAGCACAGGAAAACACAAACAAATATGATAAAGTATTGCCGGTTCCCTATTTTTTGTCATACTTGTAACCGTGATGATTGATAAGAATCGTTTCAATTCGCAATATATAAATTTGCGCTGATATTTCGAAGCACGCATTTACGCATTCATGCTGTACAGAACTGGCAATATGTAACAAACATATGTTAAGACACACATTAATAAATCTAATACAGCTAAGGTAATCTATTCCTGAGGTAGAAAAGCCTTAGTATTTCAAAAATGTAAAGTTTTGTAAACAGTTAATTTATAATTATGACCATATCAATGATAATTCATGTCAACACAGAAGTGCTGACTAATGGGCTGGTGATACCCTCGGGGAATAAAAACTCCACCAGCAGTGGCATCGAAATGCGTACCAATTTATACACATTTGCCTACTACACAACTTAAGGTTGCAACTACATCAGGCAAAGTTAACCTTAGATGAATATGGCTATTTCCCTTTTTAATTATGTTAAAATAGAAAAATCATAATTATTATAGTATAAAATATGCGAAAGATACCAAAGGGATATTTCAAACTCAAAAGTCGAAAATAAACTGACAACGCCATGACAATAAAAAAGAAAAAAGACCAAAAGACAAACAACAGTATACACAACACAACATAGAAAACTAAAGACTAATTGTAGCAATTTGTAAACTAATGTAAATGTAGCAATATATTGACATACCGGTTAGATCTATACATGTATCTTCATTAGTTCCATTACCATCTTCATCTTCTGGTTGACTTTTAGTCTTCGATTTGTAAGGAATATAAACATATATTGAATTTAAATTAATATGACTATTTTCTAATACGGGCAATGTTTTTATGTCTCAAGACTATTTGAATAAGAATTGAAAAAGATAACAATATACATCAAACATTTCAAAAGGAAGGATAAGAAAAGGAAATTTTAAAAAGTTTTGATTATAAGATGCATTTTATTGCATGCCATGCCAGCGATAATCGAAACCAAATATTTTAAATCTGTTACATTCAATGTTAAAAACCATCTAAACCAAAATGATACATATAATAAAATACCTATGAAAGAAAACAGGCTTATAATTTTGTACGCCAGACAAACAAAATACTCATCAGTGACGCTCGAATCAGAAAAGGTAATAGCTAATCTGGTACAAAGTTGAAGAGCCATAAGAACCATAAATTCCAAAAGGTTTTTGCATAATACTGCTAAGGAATTTTTTCCTGGAGGTAAAAAATCCTTAATATTTCGAACAAATCACAGGTTAATGAACGGCAAAATCTCAAAAATCCGAATGTTTACGCCTGAAAGGTAACCTTCCAATCCAACGGATAAGCAAACTAAAAACTAAATATCCAATCATAACATAGATTTAAACTTCGTGATTGATTTATTCTTCGAACTTTTGTTTTATTCGAGCGTCACTGATGAGTCATATGTAGTCGAAACGTACGTCTGACGTAGTAAAGTATAAACCTCATATTGTTGCTGATTTTAAGATTTAATTCTGTGAATAAAAAAGAAAAAAGAAACAGACAGTGCCTGTGCGACACTAAGCGAAGGTTGTATTTTGGTATAATACTACCATTATACTAGTACATACATTTATAGTAGATCTTCAAGTTTCGTTCTATTTAAAACTACATTATATCCGTTAAGAATACCTAATATTAAAAAAATCAAAGAATACATAATCTTCTTCATAAATTTTATTAAACGTTTCATGACTACTTTATTGACTTCACTTAAGGTGCAGAATTGCTTTTTTGAAACACTTGAGTTCAACTCGTTTTTTCGTGGATTTCCTGTAGCCAAATTTTTAATCTTTGTGACGAAATTTAAGTTTTTAGATTATACATGTTTAATTGTTTTTCTTTTTTCTTTTCTCTCTTTAAAACTACGTTGTTTTTCTGTCTTTAATCGAGTTATTGGATTTTTCTTCAGTTTCTTCTTTTAAATTTTATCAGTTATAGGACAATATTTTCTTTGAGACAATCTAGAGAACTAAAATTATCTATCGACTTAGCAAAAATTAAAAAAATCGGACCTTTCATTCCACGCGAATTGTGCAATATTCATGCAAGTGTGAAAGTTCGTAAATTGTTTACGTCACCACAGGGATATTTTTTTAATGGGAATAATACAATATTGCAAGTAGATCGTAAAGTGTTTGGAGTCATTATAATTTGAAGGCGTGGAAAAAAGTTGTTGACATATCCAGGACAGTTTCTTTTCATTTTTCATTTTTTTTTTGATAATATAAATAGCACAAAATACAAAAATAAAGGTTAATTGTTTCCTTCATTTAGAATATTGTCATTTTTATCTCACGACATTTAATATCCGGATATCACTCGGTATTATGGCGATGTCCGTGTTGCTCTGACTTTAGTATTTAATGTAGTGCTTTGTTGACTGACTGTTGTTGTCTTTTCTTTGTTATCGTTTTTGTAACCGTATTGTCATTTTTCTTCGACTGATGATTTTTTATTGTCCCTTTGGTATCATCCACCTCTTAGAGAAGTTTTTGTCCTATTAATGCAATATTGTTACGTGTTGGAGAATAAGATCTTTTTGCATTACAGTTCAGTTCAATTACAGTTCAAAAATATAATTTTACGTGAATAGACCGCAGAGATTTAAGAAAAATGGCTATCTTTTTTCTTGGTATTTTAAAATCTACTACTCTAGTGTTCAAATCTTAGTTTATTGTGAGTTTTCTAATACCAGTTAAATATAATTGACGAATATAAGATGAAAGAAAAGTAATTGTAAAATAAAGGATGTTTCCACACTTCAAAAAGACAACACGAACGACTTTGTTCTCAATGCCTATTGCATGTACAACAATGGCGATATACATTTGTTTTAATCTTAATCTTAAATTTGTTACAATAATAAGGTGTGCTACCACTTTAAAAGTTTTGAGAGTTTTGACATGAACAATTTTAACTTAAGTTAATACTTTGTCATAACGATATGCTTCAAATATTTCAGTTCCCTCATTTGTACGTTATAACCACAGAATGTCTGAAATTCTATGTTTGGTCTACCATTTAAATAATACTCTTACCTGTATATCAGTGCTTCCTATATAATGAAACTTCATATACCGATTCGAACTCATATTCGTATATAAAAGTGCGAACGGAATATTCTTGCTCTGGATTACACAGATGTCATTGTTATCAAACATGTATTCATGATCAAAGTGCATGACAGTGAATCCAGACTTCGACACAAGTTTAAACTGTGTCATGCCTCCTCCTTTAATCTTGATACTGTCGTTGTATCCATTGGTAATTAGTTTCAGGTGATTACAAAATGTACATGGAATGGATAGTTCTGTGTTGAAGAAATGTTCAGCTGGTGGGATGTTTATCATTGTCGGCTGCTTAAAACCATCTGCAACAATCTGACATACCATTGTTGGTTTACTTGATGACAGATGAAGTGTGCTTCCTCTTTGCAAAGACCTCTGTATTATAAAATGAGACATGGCATGCATTGTTACGGTTTTATAACCATTCATTTTAACCACGGTATTATTGTATCTAGATATAACTCGAATGGTGTCACCAAAATCATCAATATCAGAATCAATTAATATGAATTCTTTACCCCAGGTATTCAACGGTAGCAGCTGTGTGATAAACGTCTTTTCCTTATTTCCCCATCTCACGACTGTATCTCTGCCACCAGCAAATACGGCTATTGTTCCGTTACTGCTGATAAAGGTTCCGGTTAGGTCACATGCACACTCTATTATTGCTGTGTAATTGCCGGACAATGCAAATAAGATTGTTTCCCCGCTTCCATATTTTGTAGCGTTAAATGTAAGTTCGATTTTTCTACTTGATTTACTTGTTTCAGGTAGCGCTACCTTAACTTCGACAGTTGTAGCCGGAAGTGTAGATAGAATAATAAAGCATTTCCCAAGGATTTGGCAATATGTGATCGCCTTGTAATCTTTTCCCAAACTACTAATTGGATACACTGTCATGGGTGCTAATGTTCCATACCTTACATTTATTGCGATCTTTTCATCTTCCAACCAATTGTCCAACGTATCATTTTCTATTATAGAAACTAGTTCTATAAGGTAAACAGCATTTCTGGTAATGGTTTTAAACTCAGTTTCCTTTGTAGATATATTAAGGTCGAAACCTTCATTAAGCGATAAATTAAACGCTGACATTCCTTCTCCTCCAAGAGCAATCATATATTCAGTTGACGATATTAATGGATGCTGTGCTTGGATTTCGAATGTTACGCGAACGTGAGAGTACCTTTCGTCGAAGACTATTGGCGGTAAGACAAAGCTTGAATTCATGTTTCCTGTAACCGACACTGAAATATTTTCAAAACAGTTAATTTCTAATCAGCAAATCAGTTTTTATTGATAGATTACTTCCCTACTATTTTCCACGGTTTTTAATGGAATGATAGAATGATTTCCTTGCAATTTATTTATACTCTTGATTTATACAAAATGAAAAAAAAACCACTTTTACTGTGCCGATCTTTTATTCTATAAAAAATAAAGAAAAATTCAAAATCGAACGTCGTTAAAAGAAACAACGGGCGAACACGTAGCTACGAAACAATATTGATTATACATGTAAACAATGATATACTTTTTAAGTATACAGATGTTTATGAAGCGCACGCTTAGACAGGTAATAAGGAACCATTCTCGAATAAAAGCAAAGCTGTCCATTCAAGATGGCCGCAAGAAAATGCTACATTTTACCTGAAACATTTTTCCGTAAAATTGATTGGAAAGATGTTTTAGTAATTTTCTGGACATGCTACAAATTTAGTATACTATGTATACGACTAAAGGACACTGTACGAACTTAAACAACGAACAAAACAAATACCTTATAGTAAGCTATAAAGGTCCCGGCAAAGTAAAATGTGAAACAATTAAAAAGAGAAAACTAACGATCTAATTCATGCTAAAAACAACAGACGAAAAACAAATAAGGCAAACAGCATCAACGAAACCAACGGAACCACAGGCTCCGACTCGGTTTAAGCACACAAAGTATTTAGCGAAGTCAAACATGAATTGAGTGCTGAACACATCCTATCCAGTGACAGTGGTATGACAGCATAACATAAGAGCTCGTTGGAAAAAGCTTGACTCATTCGAAGAATAGCACTTACAAAAAGACAAAAAAAAAAAAGTACCGATCCAAGAGTAGTTAGCTAGTTCAAAGCCAATTTCAAATAATAAGTTAACCTTGTTTTGCCAGACAAAAATTTCAATTATTACACATTCGACGGAATGAGTGTTAAGATGTCAGTAACAGTCTGAGACAAACATGACCCAAACTATAAGAATCAACAGGATGTATATATATATATCTAGAAATAAGGAGATGTGGTATAACTGCCAATCAGACGACTATCCACCAAAGACAAAACAAAGTGAATGTAAGCAATTATAGGCAACCGCTCAACAATGAGACAAACTCATACAGCATAGTCCCCGACATGAAACATGTGAAACAATTATATTTAGAAACCAGATGGCCTAAATTAAATTTATAACAAAACAATTTACGAAAAACAAATATGGTAGACACGAACCAATGACAACGACTGTATATTTGTTTTCTTATGTAACTATAATTGTTATACCCCTGGTCCGGATTTAAAAAAAAGGGAAATGTTCATTATCACCTAAATGGTGATGGATATGTCCCAAGTCAGGTACTTAGTATTTTTTCTGCGTGGATTCATTTATTTTCATGTGGACCAATTTTGGTGGATTAAAGAAAGATTGTATTTTCGTGGATATTTGATGTCGTGCTTTTACGAAAGACTGCATACAAACCTGTTGAAAAATTGTACTTCGTTAAACATTTAAATTGTTGGTTCGCATAAACCAACCAAATTTACGCAAAATTAGTATCTCACGGATAATTAATCCATAGTATTTGGAGAATTAAGTATTAATGGTCTTTGTTTAAGGATGTTCGCTACTCTTGTATTTGACTTTTTGTCAGATATTCGGAATCCTCAAGTTTTATCCATATACTGCGGTAAAAATTTGCTCGCTAACCCTTAATTTTCTTCTCATAATTTTATTACATATATAATGTAGTTTAAAAAGCCATTTTTATTAAATGATTAATCGTGTAAAATCCTTGTAATTTTTTTTTTATAGTTTTTGAAAGAAAAAGGTGTCAATGTTAAATGTAAGAATCTAGAGCGAATCATTTCCCGCCAAATATTTAATTGATCATATCTCAGAAACAAGGACACGGACCAGTCATTTTCTTCTTCATTTTAAGTTCCGTTAGTTATATATCTTAATTAATAATAGTCTTTTAAAAAGCTTGTTATTTTGAAACAGAGGAGCGAACATCCTAAAATGTATTTACAATTTTTTTTCGACACATGATGATTCTCTGTAACTGCTTGATATATTGAAAAAGACGCTTGTCTAATATTTTTGGAAGACTATAGGTTGGTCTCTATTTGTCTCGTTGGAGAGCTGTCTCATTGACGTATGCCCTACATCTTTGTTTATTTATATTGTGAATTCATGTAAACATTTTGTATTTCACAAAGTTTGAGATAGAACTTTTGTAGGGGAAAGGTTTCGCTAAACTAGAAATCGGAATTTAGTTTTTCCTACTTACACAGTTTGTTTAAAATGGTATCATACGTTTACATTAACACACCTTATTTGCATTTTTGAAAATCTGTGGTACATATTGTCCATTCAAGTATCATAATGTCTTGCTTATTATTTTAGCTGTTACGATTTTTTCATTCGTTACAAAATACCAAAAAAAACAAAATGTAGAGGCAGAAGATATCAAGGGGACAAAACTCATAAGTCGAAGATTGATAGATTTCTGTTTGCCTACATCCAGTTGCAAATCATTAGTCGCTGAAAACCAAAAAGTGAACGTCATAAAAAATCGAAAAATCATACAAAGGAACATAGTTTGTAAGAGCTGTCAATTCCTGGTACAGAGCCGGGAAAAGACAAGGTTCGTAGAAGTTCTCGAAACAAGTAAACAGATATCAAGTTACAAAAATGAAAATTTAAAATCATACGTTGATGAAAGACACAACGGACCACGCACGTCGACACAAAACAATGTTGATTATAATTACGTTTACACAATAATATACTTTTAAGCATACTGGTGTTTATGAAGTGCACCCTAAGTCAGGTTATTAAGAATCTTTCGCAAAATAAAAGCAATACTTTCATTTTTATTTAGAATGTTCGCCAGAAAAATGCTACATTTTGCCTGAGAACTGTAAATTGTTAGGAAAAATGTTGCAGTTACTTACTGGACATACTAAAAATTTAGTATACATATGTCCTGCATATTGAAATCGATATCATATTTTTGAATTTCTTCAACTGCGACGGTATTGTAGATGGTGGACTCTCAATCCTTAAGAGTATGATTATAGTCCGCTAAGTAGGTAATGCTTCGGTACTTGCCTGATCTACATGATACATTTTATTGTAATCTCTTCAGTTTTCAAATTATGTTATTGTGCTCCATCTATGGTTGTAATTCCCTTCCCTCAAAATTAATTTGAGGCGCTTATTTGCTCTTTTAATTTGTTATGTCTCTTTTGATCTAGCGTATACAATGGAGGATTATTCCAGAAACCCGTGTCGCACGTTGTAACATCAGTATCACACAAATTGTCACAATAGTTTGTACAGGTATAAGGTATAAATGTAGTAAATCCGAATACATTTATCGCCCCAGTTCCCATGTTATAACAGGAGACCTTAACATCGTTCGTGATTGAGAGTTGAAATCATTCCTCAGTAAAGGACCTAAATATCGTCCCCTGTCAATTATTAATTGGATTGAGTGTCGTAACATCATCCACGACTCACTCCGTACTTACTGCTCTAAATGGATAAAACGAGAAAAAACTGACAAGAAATCATTAGATTCTTTTTTTAATTCGGTAATGAACATAGTTGATATACGTATTCAACATTTAAAGATCATTTTACTCTTAACAACAACCATAATAGCCCAATTTCCCGTATCAAACATAAGCTAAAAGAACTCGCCAAGGAATATATGTTTGTCCCGGCTGATAAGGTTGCTAACAATATCATTATTGTTTGACGTAAATTTTACATTGATGTTCTACAAAAGGAAATCACGAATTCACCAACATTCCAACTGACTTTATTTTCGGAAAATGACATCTGTAACAAACATAAACTTTTAGCTACCTCTTTACAAGCAGAACCAAATACAATGAAAGTTCCAACTATGTACTGGCTTCCGAAGCTGCATAAAACTCCATACAAATATAGATTTATTTCGACTTCAAGCCATTGTCCCACTACTAAACTATCTATTCTACTTACTAGTACACTTGGTACAATCAAAAACCTGGTAATAAATTTTTCAAATAAGGATTTTGAAAATAGTGGAATTAATTACTTTTGGAGTGTCAAAAATTCGTTGGAAGTACTTGATAAATTGCATGCTTATATTGGTGATTTCGAATCTGTTCAAAGTTTTGATTTTTCTACCCTATATACCACGTTTGCCTCATACTTTGATTAAGAAAAAATTCACACACCTGATTAAATGGGCATTTAAAAAGTCGGAATGCGAATATATATGTTCAAACTCTTTTAGGTCATTTTTTAGAAACAACAAACAAAAGAACTATGTCAATTGGACCTGCTTTGATACTATAACTGCCCTTGAATTTTTACTAGATAACATTTGTGTTCGCTATGGAGATTCCGTATATCGTCAGGTTATCGGAATTCCCATGGGGACTAACTGTGCACCCCTTATTGCGGACCTGTTTCTGTATTGTTATGAGTTACAATTTATGACTAAAATCAGCAAAGACCCATCGAAACAACATCTGATTCAAAAATTTAATAACACTTTTAGATATTTAGATGATATATTGGCTCTCAATAATGACGACTTCAGTATGTACACTAAAGAGATTTATCCTGCCGAACTGACTTTAATTAAGCTAATACTAACAATGAACACTGCCCTTTCCTGGATCTTGATATCTTTATCTTTAACGGGAAGCTTAATACCAAAATTTATGATAAAAGAGATGATTTTTCATTTCCTATTGTTAATTATTCATTTTTAGATGGTGACGTTCCCTTGTCGCCATGTTATGGTGTTTATATATCTCAACTTGTTCGATTTGCTCGTGTATGTAACAACGTATTTGATTTCAACGAAAGAAATCTCTGTTTTACTGAAAAATTATTACACCAAGGTTTTCGATATCACAAACTAGTCAAAACATTTACTAAATTTTA